TCAACTTGTTATATCAACGTCATCCCTTTTTGGACAACAAATGACACCTAGAGTAAGGGGTTCCCTTGTTACTTCTAGGCTAATTGACTAACATTCTCGGGCGATTGCCTGACCATCAAGTAGTGGATATTTGAGGCTTAAATGAAGGGTGGACAAGATTTCCCCAGAGAGGTTAGAGGCGAGCCTTCCTATAATGACATTGTAAGAGGATGTGGTGTCTACCACAAGATACTTCACTTTGATTGTTATGGCGCTTACCCCTAAAGTTGCTCCATAATTTTGAGTGTAATGTGAGCTTTGACTTGCATCTGCTCGCCTGAAAGGTCAACCGGGGATCCTTGGAAAGCTCAAATTCCATTGGGGTCAAGTTGGAGCCCCTAAAGGCGCTCCACATCAGGATGTCTCTTGAGTTATCAAGGTTGATTAACACTCGCTTCATATCCCAATTGGCATGATGACAATGAGATCATTATTGTGGAGGAAAACATCGATTATGTTTTTTCTTCTTGAAAAGTGATTTTAGGTTCTTGATCCCTACCTGAGGTTATGAAAGCTTCAACGGATGCGAAGTTTGCTATGAACACTTTCCAGACATACCTTCACCGGGGGGAGCTAGATTCTCCCCTAGTGAAACCTTCAATGATGGTGTTGGTTATCTTTTTGAAACATCGCTTGAACATCCTAGTCAAAAGATAGTGAAAGCAACAATGAGTAAATGATGAGTGTAGCCCAAGTTGATTTTACTAGCGCCCCATGGTGGTCACCAATTGTACTCGCTAAAAGTACAAATCTGTGACAATCCATAGTGATTAAGAGTTGTCAAATACTTTAAGTTATTGTGAGTTTGAGAGCTTGCTCACGTGGGGTAACAAGCTCATATATGTGTGTATTTATGTGTTGTAGTTAGTTGCTTATCTATCATAATACTGGGGTATTTATAGCCCCTAAGGCATGAATCAAAGACTTCTTGGAATATAGTAACCACTTTTGGAATGAGTAGTTGATCCCCTAAAATTCAAATAGCGTAATTAATTCTCATAACTCCATGTGTGGTGTTTGTTAAACCAATACCGTATTTGCACGTTCAGCATTATGTATGGAGACACTAAAGATTCAGGTTACATATCGGGGGAAAGGACACTCTATTCACAAAAGGGCGCTCAAAAAACAAAAGGGCAATCTAGAAAGGACGATGGACGAAACATAGGTTTTCGCCACGCCCAATGACCCTTTTCCAATTACACTAGTACAATTTTCAATATTAACTTAGAGATTTAGAAAGTAAGACAAAATAAAATATAAAGTCCTATATCGACCTATTAACAAATAATTTTAGTATTTATAAAGCTCACACAAACTCAAGTTTGTGTCCGTTTTGTGGATTTGAAAAATATTATAAAAACATGGAACTTAAACTTGAAATATTTCTTTTAATTAATTTATAAAAATATTAAATTAAAATTATTAATTATTAATTTCTTTATAAAAAAAATATTATAATATTAATTTTTTTTATTTCAAAATTTTGACATTTTAAAAATATAATGATCTATTAAATTAATAAATAATATTATAATATTAATTAATGATATGTATATTTTTTTAATGTTCATTTTAAATAGCATTGTCACTTCATTAAAATAAATCTTTTATCATAATCATCATTGACCCGCAAAAAAAGGCAAAATACTCCTTTTCGTCCCTTAACTTTATCTCGGAGTCCAGTTTGGTCCCTTAACTTTAAAAAGTAGCAGATTGGTCATCTAACTTTTAAAATGGTGTCAATTGAGCCCTCACCGTTAGTTGTCCTCAAACGTCCGTTCATTTTGTGTACGTGGCATATGACTTGGCAAGTTATCTTCATCATGTTGTTTCCTTCTCCTTCCTTCTTCTCATTCCCATATTGTTTGTTATTTTTTTTCGTTCCCCTTCCTCCTTCCCAATCCCAAATCCCAAAATTAACCTAGGGTTTTTGTTTTTGGAAAGCATGAAATCTAGTTGTTCGTCGTCCACGTTGAAACAGGAAAGTGGAGATTTTGATGTTTGTAGTAGGTCCCGATGGAAACCCATATGTCATTGTGGAAACACAGTTGTTCTTCAAAGGGCAACTACTATTAAGAATATGAGAAAACTTTTTTGGGGCTGTCCAAATTATAAGGTATGCAAGCTTTTTGAATTTGTTAATAAATTCTGCTTAAGTTTCAATTTGTAGGTAACCTCTAAACAATGAAAATTTCTGGGAGGTATGCAAGCTGGGTGTGGTTTCTTTGGTTGGTTTTATGAGGAGGTGGATGATGAGAAGGAGCAATTCTGGATGCATAGGCTGGGTGTGGTAACTAAGGGACTTGCTGAAGCAAAAAAAGACATTGAAAAAGTGACGATGGAGAATGAAGAATTAGGGGAAAAAGTTAATGAAACTTGAAAGTGAAATGAAGAATATCATGAAGTGGAAAAAGATTTTGAATTTGATATTTGTGATGATTATCACTGTATTAGTTGTTAGAATTAGTTAGCAGGTTTGTTTGGAAGTAGTATGTTATGATTTGTTTGTAAGAATTAACTTATTTTTTGTTTGTAAGAATTAGGTTTAAGTTCAATTAAAGATTGTATCAGTTTTGGATTGTATCAGTTCAACATGAATGTAATAGTTGGATTCTTTTAATTTCTTTTTGCAAATATTATTTTTAACTTGGTCTGTTATAGACTTGTCAAAGTGTTTTTAACTTGGTCTGCGTTGTTAAAGATTATGTTATTTTTACATGAATGCAATATTTGGTCTGTTAAAGATTAGTTTGATTTTAACATACAATGGCCTATAAGTGTTTTATATAACACATAATGATCTATAAATTCTATTTGGTATGTTCTGTTTTTATGTTAACTTGGTCTGTTATAGACCTGTCAAAGTGTTTTTAACTTGGTCTGCATTTTTAACACAACATTATGACATGTCCATAAATATTATGACTTATAAGTTGGTTCTGCTTTTAACATAAAGTACATAACAGGTCCATAAACATTATAGCCTAATTATTTCATAACAGGTCCATAAACAGGTCCATAAATAGGTTATGCTTTTAACACAACATTATGACAGGTCCCATTTCATAACAAGTCCACAAACTAATACACATGTTCCATAAAATACATAAAGTCATTCCACACATGTTCCAAACAACAACAGGATACATAAACTTATAATACACATGTTCTAAACAACAACGAAAAACATAAACTAATTATACAGCAAAATACATAAAGTGATTCCACATGACATGAAAGCCTAATTATATCTAGAGGTTCTTCTTTGGCGTGATCCTCTTTGTTGGAGTAGATCTCTTTGTTACTGGGTCAACAACATTCTTGGCAGCACTCGACCTAGTTATAGGCCCAGGTGGTACAAAAAGTCTTGTTGGCTTCCTAACATGCAGCTTTTGTGTCTTGCCCTTAGCAGTTCCATGTGTCTTATGAGTAGTCTTTTCCTTAGAAGTCTGAGATACTTGGCTAGATTGTTGAGTAGAAATTCCCTTAGCAATGTGTGTTGTTGTGTTTTGAGAGGGTTGGCTTGGTTGTTGAGTAGGCTGAGTTATTGGAGTAGAAGTGTGTTGGGTTGATTGTTGAGCAGTCTGAGTTGGAGTATGAGATGGTTGGGCTGATTGTTGAGTAGTCTGAGTTGTTGTGTCATGCTATCTTACACCTACTACACTTCACCATAAAATTTGTTCTTCTCAATTTGCGATCAGACCCATCAATTTCACCTTGTTCTAGGTTCTTCCTCTTTTTAGGTCTACCAGGCATCTTCCTGAACTTGGGTGGTTGCGCATCTGGATATGGTGTCTTAACCCACAATTTTGATCCATTAACAGGGTAGATCACATGTTTATAAACTGCCTTATACCTTGAAACCCTATAATAATCTGGAATGTAAGTATTAAATTTGAAATTCCTACTCTTCATAGCAGACAAAACATGAACACATAGGAGTTATGTGAGTTCCCATCTTTTGTATGAACATATATGATCTTTCAGGTTCGCAACAAATTTGTCAGTTTGATTTTCCAAGTGTCTTACTTCAAATATATGTTCATCAGACGTCCTAAAGAATTAAACAAACAGAATATATGAGTCACATGTTTGGATTGAATGTTATAGACATCCTAAAGAATTAATGTATGCTGATATTACATACCTTACTAGCCAATTGTTGGTGTATGTGCTTGTGACATCAAGTTTCTTTCTAATATTGGGCAATATATCATTCTCATCCAAAGTACCAAATATCATTCTGTTATTTGCCCATCTCTCCATCATGTATATTTTGATGTCTTCCATTCTTATATACACTACGACCTTCATCGATGAACTCACCACTATGATGAATTTTGAGAGTTATGTATTCATCCAAGATACCTAATCATATTATCTAAATAATTAGAGTTTACACTAATTTTTTTTACATAAACCCTAAATCTGAACCTATAGCATATATTGCCCTATGAGATTCGTAAACCCTAAATCAGAGAGAAATGAACTAACTTTTTGATAATGTCTCCTCGAATCGTCTTCAATGCTTCGTTGAGTTTACCCCTACCATCAATCATCTTATCTTCTGGGTAATGGAAAGCCAGTTCAAAGAGAATTTGTTTTAAGACATTTTATATCCACGTCAACAACTTCAAGTCCACCTAGACAAACGTGACAATTGTTTTCAAACTTTGACTAACGACAACAGACGGAAGGATAAATGTGACACCATTTTAAAAATTAGAAGACCAACTTATCACTTTTTAAACTTAAGAGATCAAACTAAACCCTAAATTAAAGTTAAAGAATGAAAAAAAATTATTTTGCTAAAAAAAAATAATCATAATCATCATTGTCATATTTTTAAGAATGAACGGGTAAAAAAAAAACCTTAAAATATGAAATAGAAAGATTAAAAAGCTGTATTGTTGTAATTTAGCTTCGACGAACAAACTGAGGTTAGAACGGCAAAGGAAATGGAGTCGCTAAACAAAATCTCAAGCGTAGATAAAATTTTGGATCTCCTTTCCACACTCGGCTACGTCGATGCAACAGGTTCCGATGCACCGCCGTCGCAGAAAATCGCCGCCGGCCTGTCTTGGATCATCGCCGCCCTCAACCCCAACTCCAACATAATGTATGTTACCTCTTTCTCTCAATCAATCAATCGATTAGGGTTTCTATTCTTCACCTCTCGTTTTCTTTATTCATCTTGCAGACACGATGAAAACAACACACAGTACATAGAAGAATCTCTAAAGTTAATAGAATGTCCGCACCCTCTTCAACAAACTCATATTCAAAATCGTGATGCTGATGCTCTTTTTCCGGTTATTCAATGGATTAGTTCACGTCTAAAATCAACGCAAGAACAATGCGTTAGTGAGGTGTTGAATTGAACTCTCGCATTTTCAGTTTTGATTTCCATTTCTGTGAGTAGTTTCATAAAATGCATGTTTTGTGCAGTGCTGATTTTTGGTATGCCATGGAACTGTAGGTACGTCGCGATGAAGAAACTGTTGAAGAAGAGGATGTGCTTAAAACTAGCTTGATAAACAAGTTGGATGAACTGGTCTGTGAGATGCATGAGATGTTTTGCAATTATCATTTCTACTTGATTTATTTGACTTTGGTGTTTAGCTTTATTTTATTTTATTTGGTTGTTCTACAGAATCACCGGAAAACGAATGTTGTGGAGCAGTTAGATGAGTTAAGAGCGAGAATCAATAAGAAAGGTGCTGATTCTGCAGTTCAGAAGTTGTATCCTTTGATCATCTCTATGAAGGTGAATCATTATTATTATTATTGTTTTCAGTAATTTTAAAATTCAATTTTTCGAGCCAATTGAAAATGAAGTGATTTAACTAATTTTTGTAGTTGATGTTTGCACTAAAGCTGAATGTTATGTGTTGCTTATACTATCAACTTTTAGTTTAGGATCTTGAAAGAAAGGAAACCAGCTTTCTGTTCAACCGCGAAGCTAAGCATTCAGAACTTCAGGCCGAGATTAGTGAATTAGAGAGGAAAGTAGCAAGTGACTATGATAGCAAGAGCCTTACTGATGAGCTTCATCAATCTTTTAGTGAATCACTTGAAAGAGTCGATCGGATGAAAAAGGTAAGATAGTTTTAATAAATGGACTTGCTTTCTATTATTTTCTATTCTCATTTTTGGATGCACGACGGTTTTAAATTGTGGTTCAGTTACCTAAAATGCAGATAAATACAACTGCATAATTCTTTCAAACTGCACTATTGCAGTTACAATTGAAAATTTTGGATTTAGAACCATGAACCTACTTTGAATAGTTTTGATCCTTGCTTATTCCATTGTTTCAATTACTATAAGCTTCATATTTTTCCCTTTCTGTTAGGGACTTGCTGCTAGACTAAGAGATGTAGTGGCAGTAAGACGGCAGATTGATGATCTGCCGTGCCAATCAGAAATCGTTCAGTACGTTGGCTTCTTTCAACTTTCACTTATTCATGACTTCTATTGTCTTTATGCTATGTAAAACTCTTTCTTGAAGGAGATTAAGTTTGTCCTTTACCTGGTTCTAATTAGGTGCAATTAAAACACATCCACAATATTTTCTTTCAAATTTCATCTGCACATGTTTCCCATGCCCTTGCACATGTTTCCCATGCCCTTACGCATATCACATTATTTTGAATGGGGTTGGGCACATACAGTACCTGATTCCAATTTCATGCTACTAACCCTCACTTTCAACTTGAAGTGCAGAAAATAAAAACTAAGTAAATATGTCCACAAATCATTTTTATACTAGTCTATATTTTTAATTCCCACCTCAACTATCTAATGACAGTTTGATTATTGGATAGAAAGAGACCCATTATGATTAAAATTGAAATTTAACAGGAAGAAAGCATGTCCCTGATTAATCTTACGTTTCATTTAATTGGATAGTAAATTTTCTTATCAATTACTTTTTATGTATCCCTACAAGTCTCTTAAATATTTGTATTCATGCTGGAGTTATCTTCCTGGTACGAATGTATCCTTGGATTAGATGAAATAGAATATGTACATCGATCAGGTGAAAGCAATAGCATGCATCTATGCCAAGGGCGGATTTGATAAGAATATGAAACCTGGTTGTCTGGAATATTTATTGGATATTTTTCATTCATGTTTATGCAGGTATGAACATCGGCTCTCAGAACTGTATGCTCAAATCCAGGTTCGTAAATTCTTTTGATAGAATGAGTTTTTGTGAGGGAGAGAAAAGTGAAAAAATGATGACATTGTTTACTGTTAAATCTTTCTCAACCATATTTCTTGTTCTAATTATTATAGAATGCCCTTGGTATTTGCCATTGTACAGGGAAAGCATCGACAGACTCACAAATATTATTCTACCTACAATGCTCTGTTGGAAATAAAAGAATTGATGTTAAAGGAAACATCTTTATTGAATTCGATCATTTCACAGGTATACATTGGAGAATTGCACATGCTGAATTTTATTTTGACATTTTCCATATGATTTTGTTTATTGTCAATCACTCCTCCATATTGCAGTTTCAAGAGGCCTTTAGTAGCGCTGATGGTCGTATAAAACTTGTTCATTCTATGGAAGGGATTTTCAAGGGTAGTCAACAGGTAATGCTATTTTTGCATGCGTAAATAATCAACTTGGAAGAGTTAACTTGAGGTGTTGTGTTGATTTATTAAATAGGTATATATCCAAAATGAGTTCAAATGTTTTTTGAATCGGGCCTAATTGATTCCACCATATATATGTATATATATGCATGATATTCTGGCCTAGATATCTAAGTTGCTCTTAACAAATTATAATATTTTATCTTAACATCAAATTATAATATGTTAGATAACATCAACAAATTATATGTTAACTAAGTTTCTATGATTCTTTAATTTATATTGCAATAAGCAATCGTGATTGGTGAGAGAACACCTAATGATTTGTTTAAATGGGCGTTCATAGTAAGAGGTGGGCAACTAGCGACCCGACTTTGCAAATATACCAGTACAAGTTATCTATTTGTTTTTGGTGGAGTTCACTTGCTCCCTAATTTAAAATATGAAGTTAATTAAATTTTAGTCACCATATCCTCCTTTTTGAAATTTCAAAGTTAAAGTGAAAATACTATGTTTCCTAAGAAAGAAAGCACCACAAACGCATGAAAATATCTATTTAAATGTTGTCCCTTTTGAAATTGTTGTGGTGAGAATAAGATATCAAATTATTAATTAATTTGAATCGCATCTTTAGTTCACAACCGGTCTTTGATTTATCCGAAGGAAAAGGTCAAAGAAAAGAAAACCTAAATTTTGCATCGTAAATAATGCGAGGAGAGATCTAGGTAAGGGGTTGGTTAAGATTAGGGAAGGTATTAGCACCCTAAACTTCTGTAGTACTCTACAGAAACCTTTTGTTTAAAGTTAACTATTTTGCTTTATTATCTGCTTGAGGGGATATTGCTAAGGGTTAAAAGTGACACAGAGACCTAAGGGTTAGTCCTAAGTTTACTCGCCAAGACTCGCATCTTGTGCCTACGTATCCGAGGTAGGGGATGGAATCAGAGTAGTCGTAGTTCCCCTCCCCTCGAAAGGGAGGTTAGAAACTTCTTGACTGTGGTCAATGTTTCATTGGGGAATAAGCGTTTTTAAAGAAGCTTTGTCCACAACTTCAAAGAGTAGGCGGACATTTGGAGGAAAATAAATCCTCGTAGATTCTTCTCTTCTTGTAGAATAGGAAAGTACTTCTTCATTCTTCGACTGAAGTTGCTTTTGAAGTTCGGCATTCTCACTGACGACCACATGGTATTTGTTCTTACATGCTGTTGTGCTTTCTTCATAGCGATCTTCAACGTTTCAGCTTCGGACATGAAAATTAGAACAGGTCGGGAAAGTCTGGGAAAACCTAACTGTGTGTCTATGGAACCATACCTTCATTGGGTCCGAGAAAGAGCCATCAAGTTGAAGATGCCTTATTCTCGCCAAGATCCTTTACCTACAAGAAGGGAACCTGTTCTAGTTTTCATGTCCGAAGCTGAAACGTTGAAGATCGCTTTGAAGAAAGCACAACATGAGGCAACATGAGGCAGAAGCATGGAAGAATAAATACCATGTGGTCGTCAGTGAGAATGCCGAACTTCAAAAGCAACTTCAGTCGAAGAATGAAGAAGTACTTTCCTACAAGAAGAGAAAAATCTACGAGGATTTATTTTCCTCCAAATGTCCGCCTACTCCTTGAAGTTGTGGACAACGCTTCCTTAAGAACGATTATTCTCCTTGCGAGTCTTGGCGAGTAAACTTAAGACTAACCCTTAGGTCTCTGTGTCACTTTTAACCCTTAGCAATATACTCTTAAGCAGATAATAAAGCAAAATAGTTAACTTTAAACAAAAGGTGCAAAATTTAGGTTTTCTTTCCTTTGACCTTTTCCTTAGGATAAATCAAAGATCGGTTGTGAACTAAAGATGCGATTCAAATTAATTAATAATTTGATATCCTATTCTCACCGCAACGGAAATGTTTTGGCATTACTTTATATTTGAAAGGAACAAGCTTTTTATTAGCAAATTGGGATTATATTTTCCTAACACAACACAGCTAGTTTTTTACAAAGTTACAACAAAACACTGTCCTTATGTTTAATTGTATTGGCTATTAGATCACCTTTACAAGTAGTTTCAAAAGTGCATACAATGTCATGTTAAGAGAAACTCATTCCTTTCTGCATTGTCTGATTATTATAGATTATCAATGAAGTTCTTATGTTTTGTTTCTGATAGAAACTTCTTATGATTTTTACTTGGATAATAAGTTCAATTAATTCATATTTAATTTTGTGACACTTCAGTGAAGAAAACTTTATTTTCTATTACAGAACCTTGTATTTTCTGTTTGTTGTTGTGGACATTACCATTTAAGTATAAATGTTTGTTATTTTTCTTTTTATTGTAAGTACCCATGTTCTTTCAATGAATGTGCCTTCTGTGATTAAAACTCTTAACTGCTGGATATGTGTACAGAAACTGGAAAAGGTTCAACTAGGGCTTCAAGAAGAAGAGAGAAACCGTAATGACCTTAAGGATAGATATGCTGCAACAATTGGTGAGCAAAAGCGCTGCTATTCTCTGATGAAAGCTTTTCAGGTATGCTTTTTCCAGTTATAGAATATTTCCCCCTTCAGAGGTAGAAGAGTTTCATGCATTTTAAATTTGTCATGCTAACTATACAAAATTGTATGTTTTTTTGTGAAAAATTCAAACCATAAATATCTCAATAATATTTGTGAAAAATTTGAACCATGTATGTAACTATGCCTATGTATTGACTACTTATATGTTTATGTATTTATGAGCCATTAGTTGTGTGAACTTTATAAAGATTGTGGACTTATTTCTATTATATATAAGAATAAATTTATGTTCGGTAAAATTTTCAAGTATCCTTGTTAGAACATATGACTTAGTGAGTGGGATAAGGCTTAGTTGTAGTTGTTGTATCTATGGATCCCTGTTGTATCATAGTACTATGTATCGGGCTTTATAGCTTGATATGATATCTAGAAATTATGTATGATTTGAATTAATTTGAGTTGAGCTGGTTACACTCATTTTGAAAGACAAGGCTTTTTATTCACTTATTTTCTTTAGTTAAAAACTTAATATAACACTTCATCTACTCCTAGCCATGATATCTGCATAAACTGATGATATGTTTGCTAAAAAAATACTATACAGACCAATTTTGCAAGGGTTTGATCTTCATAGGAACCTTTTCCCTCACTTTGTAATTGATAATATCCATAAATTATATATGATTTCAAATAAATTAAATAAGCTCACTTAGAAAGCAAGGCTTTAGCTGGAAACTTTGTTCTTTGTACCCTGTAAAGGTATAAGATTGCTGGTTGTCATTCTTCTAGGCTTTAAAATATTATCTTTTTTATACTTATCAATTATTTCTTTTAATGGCCAGGAAAAATGTTCCAAGGAGAAGTTACGGTGTCAGAGTTCCAGATGAAAATTGCTGATATCTCATTGAGTTGCGTGAAATATTTGCATCACATTTAAGGCAAACAGATGGCCACAAATTCACGCCATGGTTATGGGTTAAGAATATAATCTGCAGTTTAAAAACTGATGCACGAGCTGCGGATATGATGATTCACATTTGTTGACTGTTATTTACATGTTTTATTTAGCAATTACATTAAACTTTTTTATGGTTGGGTTTTGTACAGTTTTTCTTGAACTTCAGATCATTCCAATGCTCCAAGGGACGGGCATTCTCCTTTTGAGATTTTACTATTTTTAAGTGTTTGGAAATTCTTATTTTTGTAACATGAATGATTTACTTTCATACTTCAGATTAATCACAGAAGATTGTTCTCTATCTATTAGGATAATTCATACACAATATATTTTAATAAATTGATATTGCTAACATACCGTGAACTTGGTCTTTGATTATCTTTGTCCACATAATGGAAACATGTCTAGAGATCTATGCTATTTTTCTAAAAATTATTTTATACTTTGAAGTTGTACATATTTTATAAATTTACATCAACGATCAAGAGTATAATTGTCTTTAGTATTATTATTATTATACAAAATTCTCTTACAATAAAAAACCTCATTTCATGTTATGTTTTGTTCATTGTTGTTGTTGTTGATGTTTATTTATATATAAACATACTTCTCGTTTCAAGTTTCTCTATTCGTAATAAATTTTGAAGTTAAATTTTAAAATATACAAACTAATATTTTTCTATTATCTCTTACGTTAATACTTTTTCCTCTCCACTTTTTTGTTGCTGACATTGTTGTTGCTGTGGTTGTTGCTGAACTGCGGGAATTGTAATACTAGCAATCTGCTGTTGCTGCCGATTCCGACCTCTACCTCTCCCACGAGAATTGGATACTGAATTGGTATCTCCTTCTCGTTTCTTGTTACCGAATACTTTCCTACCTCCTCCTCCAACTGAGGGCATTTCACCAGCACTTATCTTCCCTAACTTGATACCATTTTTCACCCTCTTTTCGGTGATGATTAAGTCAGAGAAACTACTCGACATGCTACTAATGAGCTTCTCGTAATAGACGCCTGACAAAGTGGCGACAAACATATCAATGAGCTCACGTTCCACCATAGGCAGCTGCACACTGGCTACTAACTCCCGCCACCTTTGGGCATATTCCTTGAAACACTCATTCCTTGAAACACTCATTGTTCCTTTGTGAAAGATTCTGAAGCTGGACCCTGCTAGGAGCAAGGTCGCTGTTGTATTGATAATGTTTCACAAAGGCCTCATCGAAGTCCCTCCAACTGCGGACATTCACGGGTTCCAGACTCATGTACCATTCCAACGAAGGACCAGACAAATTGTCCTGAAAGAAATGCATGAGCAATTTCTCATCGTCTGAGTAAGCAGACATCTTACGGTAGTAGGATCTCAAATGAACTCTCGGGCAGGTGGTACCCTTATATTTGTCAAAGTCTGGGACTTTAAACTTCAGCGGCACTCTCAAATCCGGGATCAATCCCAAATTAGCCATGTTAAGGCCCATGGAGTTTTGACTTTCAAGAGACTTCATTTTTTCTTCAATCATCTTGATCCTCTTATTAGCTTCGGAGGGCAACTCAGCAACCACAACCCTCGGCGAGAACACATCATCTTGCATGTCTTTGTTCCAGTGGTGATTCAGCAACCATTTCCAACATTGCTAAGACCAGTGTTGTTGAAACCTGCAACATTACCGGCACGAGCAGTATTACCATTCCCTCCAGCAGTAGGGATAACCAAAGTAGGCATGGAGTTATCAGCTCGAGGAGTCTCAGCATGTGGAGGATTAGTAGCGTTCCCACCATACAACACACCGTTGCCATCAACACGTGCAATCAAGGGCTGCACCAAAGTACGGAGTTGCTCTTGTCCATTAGCCACTCCCTGTATTACCTCCATGAACTGGGCCATCCGGTCCCTCATTTCCTGCATCTCTGCTTGCATTTGCTCCATTACTCTATTTTGATTTCCCCTAGTTGCATACCGGTGATTCGTTTGATCGGCAATCCTGAAACACACTGACGAACCACAGGAAAATAAGATTAACAGTTCCGATGCACCTGCAATGCAAAGATGCAAAAATGCAAACATGTATGTATGCAACAGGGATCGATTCTAGTTTCCGGGAGAAACACAACAATGGAGAACCTTAGACAAGCATATAACAGAACCTCCTCGTATATAATCACGGGCCAACAGGCAATGTACAAGTAACAACTGAGTATAATAAGAAAAAGACCTCAACCAACAAGCCTGACGATGGTCAGTACAACAAGCTACAAAAAGATAAACAAGATAGTCAAGCTGGATGACGAGACCGGAAGTCCTCTAGCAACTCTCGCGTCTCAGGATGATCCGGTCTAACAAGTAGTCCCTGAATAAGTAACTCTTGTTGGCTAATAGTATGCTGTAGACTCTCAACATGATCTTCTCAAGCTCCTTCCCCAAAGCATGCCTCGAGCTTACATCTCTTGGAATCAGCTCTCAACCTGCAATCCTTCAAGTTTGCAATAGCCTTGTTCAGTCTGTACTCACTATCCCGTCTGAGTGACGCCTCTGCTGCAATCTTCTCGTCTTTGGCATTGAGCTGCGTCTTCAACTTGCTGATCTGTAGCTTTAACCTGTCTTCGCGCTCTTTGTTGTTGGTGAGCGTAGCATTCCATTGGTTATCAAACTTAGAAATCTTTAAGTAAGCTCTATCCAAATCTTCCTTCTTGGAAGCAAGAACACTATTAACAGCCTTGAAATCCAAACCCAAACGCTCCCGAGAATTGGTCTGCTTGGTCAGATCCGTACCCAATTTGTTTACAAGCTCAGTTTGCTTCTTGAAGGAATGAACAACCTCATTCTTCTCCCTTCGAAGCTGAATGATTTCTTTCTCCAACTCCTCATTAGCTTTTCTCAATTCTTCCTTCTCAAATAATAACTGATTGTACTTCTGAATGTCTACGGTAGTGGGTTCCTCAATCATGAGAGGATACAAAGGTGCAACTGAAGGAAACGGCATCAGACACTTCACAACTCTATCATGAATCCAAGTCAGGTAAGGGTCATAGGCTCGACTGTTACTCTTTCCCAAGGCTACTTTCCCTCTCCGATGAATACTACTCCAAGCATGCTCTAATCTGGCTAAGGCATCGCCCTCCAATAAACCGGTGAGATACAGAGATTCTTGTATCTCCTCTTCTTTAGGAGGATCCATCAGTGCGTATCCAAATTGTCTGACCAACAAAGAAGGGTTATAGTTGATGCAACCTTTCCTTCCGACCAAAGGGACGTTAGGAAATCTTCCGCAACTATAAATAATATCTATACCGAGCATATCTCTGTCAAACCAAGTGATATTCTCCGCAGACAAACCCATCAACCTATCAGACCACTCTGAAGTACCAGCGGTAGCAACAAACGAACCCGCCTTGGGCATGTGACTAGCAAACCACCTGTATAATAAAGGGACGCAGCAAGACACATTCTTTCCCCTTCGATTCTCATTCTTGTGGTGCACAGAATGATAAACATCTCCGAGAAGTGTGGGTACCGGATTCCCTGAAGCTAGCAAGTAGAAAGCATCCACATCTACAAAGTCTGGTGTAATACCCCAAATTTTGCCCTGAGATTTGGTCGAATCATTTCGCATTACATGATATCTCACATTGCATTTTAACTAACCACTGACAGGTTGTGTAGTTCGTTGGTTTTTGCAGAAAAAGTCCCAAAGGGCAAAATGGTCATTTTGCTCACAGCCGACCGTTAAGTTTGAATTTTGAACTGTAATCAGGAATTTTGGTTTGTTTGATCTAGGTGGGAGGTTTTAATCGGATATGGTGTCGGAAGTGGAGCTAATCGGATAAATTGAAAAAAATTAGAAATTAATATAAAAAAAATGGAGTTTTTTTTTTTTTTCCATTTGAGTGTTTTTAAATTAATCATATTGCATTGCATCGTCATTTTTATTCTAATTTAATTTCATTTAGTTCTATTTTTATTTTTCATTTCGTTTAAAAAAAAGGGTAAATCATTTTATTTTAAGTTTTATTTCACTTTGAGTTTTGTTCTCATTTCATTTTACATAACTTCATTCTTTACAAAAATATAACTTTATTTCATTTTGCTCACATTTTTTTTATCTTTTATTATTAATTCTATATTAATAATTCTATTTTCAATATTATCTTTATTTTTTATATTTTCAAATAAAGAGTATATATTTGCCTTAGTCTTCATTTTTATTTGTATATCTAAAATAAAATAGATAAATTAAAGACTGTTATTATTAATATTAGTTTCTTACGATATTAATTTCTTACGAAAGTAATGAATAAATAGAGAAATTTTATTAATAAATTTAGTCTTTACAAAAATATATATATATATAGTAACTAAATAATTACAAAATATAAAAAAATTTAGTTTACATTTTTTTTCCTCATAAAAATATAAAAATTTCTAAATTTCTTCATGCTCTTCCGATTAGCCGATTCCGTGTTTCCAATCTCGTTCGTACCTGCACACAGAAAAATCACAACGGAAAATAAGAGTAAAATGTTAGATTTATATTTGACACCCTCAGAAAAGTCTCATCACCGGGTGTCGGGAGGGCACGACAAATTGCAGAGACCAAACTCCCATTTCCAAACTCGACCGCGGTTATAAACCGATAGAATCCGTTCTTATTGGTGGGACAGCCGAGAAAGAGAGTAAAAAAGGAAGTCTGGGTCAAAATGGTTTTGCCGAAAAGCGCTTATTTCGAAAGACAGTTTGGAAAGTGGATTTTTCCGAAAGACTGTTTGCCTGTTAGGACCTTAACGTCAATCATCCGGAAAAATCAATTCTAAACCGACAAGCCAAACAAACCAGTTCAAACTGGATCCAAAAAACCAGTTCAGCAAGTTGAACCCAAAGATCAGTTCAATTCAGACAACATCAAACCAGTTCAGAAATGGTCAAACAAATT